ATTTATTTATTTATTTGTCTATTTATTGATTTATTATTTTTTATTTACAGGTTGGACCAAGGATTCTAACAGTAAAAAGAAGTGACTGAGTAATCTCTATACACGGGCCATCGATCGCCATAGACCGTGCGGTTATGTAATCAGAATTCGTACTTAACGTATGGCAAATAGAACTCAGCAGGGATGGCGATTGACGTCTTTTCATATATATATATTTTTTCTTCTCCAGCCCGCTAGAATTTTCAGTCAAACTTATAAGCCAAAGAAAAAAATAAGATAAAAACTAGGGCATCTTTTTCAGTTAAAAATATGATTAAAATTTTTGCACGGTAACATAGTAAAATTAAGACATGAGAATTTGAAAAGCGATCGATAAAATATTTAAGTATGCACTAAGCGCTAAAAACGTAAGTGATAAAAACTCTAAAATACAATAAGAAATACAATAAGAAACACAATGAAAATTTGATTAGCAAAGTTTTTTGTTATGAGCTCGAGATTTCTGTGAGGTGATAATCGAAGAGGCCTTCGGCCTCATCAACTTTTTCCTCATAGAAATAGAGAGGGAATGATCTAATTGTCTTGGTAGAATTCTAACTGAGACTTAATTCAAGTCACGGTTTCCAATTACTTTTTGACGTATTATTAAACTTTGTGCCTTAGAAAGATCGCTCGGATTAAATTGTCATTTGAAATTGAAGTTGTGTGCCGGCAAGAAACCGTTAATTTAATTATCCATTTGCATCAAGATGTTTCTTCTAAACTTTGGTAAAACGAAAAAAACCTCGTTATTTCGTAGACGACCTCCAGCCACTGCACACTATAGCTAATGGCTGATTGTGAACTATCATTCAGCCAATCAGATTGTAGCATTTGCATTAGTGTGAAAGTAGAATTCCACTAATCGTTGATAGAACACGATCGCGCCCAGAAGAAAGTTATTCTTTATTGTTTGTTAGTTTTTAAGCTTTAGTTTTTTAGAGTCTAATAAAACGATTGGTTGATTCACCCTCTTTTCGGAGAATGATCGCGAACTCGGCTGTAGGTCGCTTAAGTTGTTAACTTCGCCATCCCTTATGTAACTCAACATATTATAGCTTAAACTAGAAGAATAAGAAGATGAAGTACTCAAACTTACTCAAACAATCGTGCCCCTCTGCACTTTCTCCGTCGCAGTACTTTCCATCATCACTTGGGAGCGGATTGGTGCAAGTTCTTGTTCGAATACGTTGATTTCCCGCGCAAACACCCGGTGCACAACCACTCCAACCTGACCAACCGGACCAACCGCCGTCCACTTTCGCGCCAAAAAAGTATCATCGAAATAAAGAAGTTAGTAAAGAAAACGCAATGGGAATTCTTGTGAAGATATGTTACAATTTGTTACAATTACTATGGAGCTTGCTTTTTCATGAGTAATAGAACTGAGAGAATTAAGGAACAGTGAATCGTTTTGTCTGCTAACAGAGCTATTTTCACGTAACATTTCCATGACCGAGACAAAGTCATCCTTAAGATTTAAAAATGAACAAAACAAAACAACAACCATTCACAAAGGGAATTAGTTCCCAGAAACTTTACCAGGAGGGAAATATTAAGAAACATCCTTGTAAACGAAAACCTCGGGCATTCATAGACTATTCCAATTTTTCATTGGTGCCTTGGTTGTCGAACAAAATAACCCACTCGAAATCAAGATTTTACTTGAGCCAAACAAGTTTTTTCCCAATCAATTTGATAAACTGCGATATAATATACACTAGCTCATATGCTTCCTTTTTTCAAGTACCTGGAATTCAAATCAGGTGATGCTTTTGTATTTGCGATAACAGAAAATTAATGATCAGTTCAAAACCTCGAGAATATTGACGACTATTAAAAGATGAATAACCTTCGGTTTTAAAACCATTTTTCTTCTATAACCTTATGAACAGTTAAGCAAGAAATAACATACTTACCGGCCGCACCTACATAATTCCAGAACGATGTTAAACATAGCAGAAGTATTAGACTGGAATCGCTTTTCCTCATTCTGAAGAGGTTAAAAACTATTATCTAAAAGAGACGAAGGCTAAAGCATAGCCATGTACCCCTTGGTAGTGTTGAACAAAGAATAATTGAACAGAAACCAAGTAGCTTAATGCAATTCAGCTTCGTCAAGCTACTGACACCTGAAATGACGATATGGAATTTGTTTACGTAGGTGAATAAACGTATTTCGTTGCCTGTCGAGACCTAGTCGCCTAGGCGTTAATTTGTGTATATTAACTTCACGTGGGGTTAATCCATCTCAAAGAAAAACGCTAAACTCAAACTAAAAACGAAACGTCCCTCTAAGAAATAAGTAATCTAAATTGTTCTTTTACCTAGTACATCATAATTGATGGACCGGTGTATTGTATTGAATTTCTTGTTTTAGCCAGTAATATGCTCTATAGGTTATGAAAATACCATCATGTCTTTGTTGACATTTTATTCAATAACATTTTTTGATGTCTAAAATGCGTTAATGACCTAGAGAGAGAGACATCGAGAGAGCAAGGAAAAAAAGAGAATTACAAGTAAAATCTTGTTGTGTACATGAATCAAAATCCCAAAGAAAAATATAGATAAGAATTTTTTTGAATCAGATTTGAATCGTGCAACCGTGCAAACCTTAGAAAAAGAAAGTCATTTTCTTCTACCCTTTAAAAATCATAAGCTGCTCCCACTGCAAAATAAGACTTCACAAGTACAACTGTTGTCTATTAGTGAACAGTCTCAGGTAGGAAACAATTAACTACAATTCAACGTTGTTAATCGATATAAGCTGATATAACTCGGTTACGAGTAGTTGGGATTTCGTTTCGTTTCAATTCATAAATATTAACCCACGATCACTTTTTCATTCAAATGCCAATTGTCATTGCTTCATTGTTTTATTTTTAGTTTATTGCGTCTACTACAATGAATTATTAGTAAACGTGGAGTATTCGCAAATGTTGTGAATTTTTTTTTGTAATCTGTGCTACTAGCTTTTCAAGTTTTCTACAGAAATATTCAATAAAAGCAAAATGCATTTGGACTATAGGTAGAGCACAGGTGTTCACTTCTCACCAAAAATAATACATTTGTTATATTTGCACCCAGTTATTAACGGTCCATAAACTACGCGGATACACGTAATGAAGAAAAATAAGCCGCTTTCTGTACAGCAGACAGAACGCTTTCCGGCCCTATCTTTAATATATCAATTTTAGAATTATAAAATGTTGTTTATCTATAGAACACAAACTCTTTTTCAGTGCAATTTTGTTATCTGTGAGCAAGGTAATTGGTCTCAAGACAAAGTTCGTGACAATGGCTGCTGCTGAACAAATAGTATTGGAAATGAACTAAAGTTGATGACAAATCACGAAGTTCTTGCTTTTTTTGTTTTAAAAATGTTGTTTTGCTGTTCACTGGGTTAGCGAAATAAGACTTTTACTCATCAGAATTATAATACTCGAGCGTTATAACTTTGACTTGTTTGAGTCCGTTTCATACGGTTAAAAAATACATCACAAAAAATGATTAAAAGTAATAAGCAATGAAGTTATGAGCTTAATATTGATACAAATTAACATATCAAACAGTAATTGAAACGTGCCATAAAAGTTTGGTATTTTGACACTGGTGTTAACAGTGTAAAGGGGTTTCTTGAAAATTGATAATATTACATTTATAAACTTTATATTGCATGTTAGGAGTCACCCTGCCGGAAAGCGTGCGCTGATAATTTTTTCCGTTTTCTAAAAGAAAGAGCAACTATTTTCTCGTTAGCTTTATAGAAACTGTTTGGAAGAACTCTATAATTAAGCCTGTCAAAACGCTTAGCTTCAGATCTTGTTCCCACGGTATTTCACCTCTTCTCAGCTTTCTACTCGTGGTATGTAACTCGATAGAGAAGAATTTAGGAAGATGTTTTCAGATTCTCAATCATTTCAATTTGAGATAATTTATTTCAAGATTGATAATATTCCAACAAAATCTCAAGATCTGATAATCAATAGGAAGAACGTGATGAAATAACATTTTCCTTAAACAGCCATGTCTAAGTTTGTGGACTCACCTATGTCAACGATAATCAAAAATTATGCCAAATGGAATCGAAATTAACTGATCTATCATTAATGTTCCTCTATGAGAGTTGTTAACGTTAAATTACTCTTCGCGTTCTTCTATTTTGCAAATATGCCCATTTAAAGGTTATTTGTTTTTCATACGTAATTCTAACTACCATAACATCGTCTGCAATCAGATGCTCCTTTTCGATAAGGTTTTTTAAAGGTTAAGCCAGAGTAATAGATCAATACAGAGTACTACATTGATACAATGTGATTTTGACTGTTTTTTTTTTTTTTTATGATGATAGCCAACCGGCGGTGGCACCTTCGAATTCATAACCAGGAAGCCGTTAATAAAAACAAATGGTTTGTCTTGGTCGAATTTTTGACCTTTTTCTCCCAAAATGACAGCAGAAAATGACTGCCTGGTTTATTATTTCATCGGGGGTGATTAATCCGTCTTCTTCTGCAGCGTTAGACATTGATTTGGAAAATTGATCTTCATGCCATCTCCAACGCTAGGACCAAAGAACGCAATGGTTGACTGTTTTCTATAATCTGTTTTCACTTGAAATAACTTTTAAGTTCATACACAAACATAAAGATGTTTCTATCCTGACGGTCTGACACTCAAAAAATTGTTTTTTTTTTATCTAGGTGAAAATAGAAATTAAGTTTTTCCACATCTGAATAAAAACCTATGGTCTAGCTCTATGGAGTCTGGGCTCGATTTTTTCGAAACAGCGGCTGGTCGAGTTTCCTCCACACTGCAGTTTTATAATACAACATCCGATCGTTGTGCGGATAAGTTTGACTGCTAGAAGGTAAACTTTCCATTGGGATTCTTATTCTTAGTCTTCGCTTCTGTCACCGGCTGACGGTATAAACTATTTCTCTCCAGTCGTATTTTAACCTTGAAAAAGTTCGGAAGGAAAATTAAGAAAATAAATGTCAATAAATATGCCAGTCGAAGAAATTAAATCTGTTACCCTATTAAGGTAATGTTGCAGGCTAATCTAATCTTCTGATTGGATAATTGAAATCACGTGCGAAACTACGCAAGGTTAAACGACCTTCAGAATACAGAATACGTGCAAAACCCCAAATAAAATTAACTCACAACCGGTTTTGCCCTGCCTTGTCTTCATAGCCTTCACGGCGTGATTACTGTTAATAAAATTTCTTCAGAAAAGAAAATCGAAGTTTAAAAACGACGATGGAGGTGAAGTTATCGATGGGATTAAGTCCTGTAAATTTATACACACCGTTAACAATGTCTAAAATGTATCGAACTTGGTAGACATCAGAACAACCGCTGAACCACGACCAAAATTTTACTTATCTATATCATACATATAGTTTATCAAAACCTGAGCACGAGAGTCGTACAAGGAGATTATCGGTCCGAGGTCTTTAAAATAGGCAGAAAAAAGACCAAGGGTCAATGTTTTCCCAGTACGGTCCCGGGCATCGCATAACTGAAAATGTGGAAAAAAAAACTCCCACGATCACGGATTAGAAAGACACCGCAAATTTCCAGAACGAAATTCGAAGTTCAACTTTGGCGCTTACTCACGATTGACCTTTTCCAAAGAAAAAAAGGACAAGAGAATCAGAAGAAAGAGGAAAAAAATTGTAAGAGTAAGCTAAGAATTCTTTTAAGACACAAAACATCTAGAAAATCGCCAATAGTGGAGGCGAGGGATCAATCGGGGCAGTGCCTTGTCCAATACTTTGAAAATATTGGACAGGCAATGGGGCAATGTGATTGGTCGTGTAATAAAATGATATAAAGCGAGTACGGGAATGAGTAAAACACTCATATGATGCGTGACACTGCCGAAAAGTTGTATGTAAGGCTAAAAATGTTCTTACTTCAGTCAGAGGGCATTNCAATTCAACGTTGCTAATCGATATAAGCTGATATAACTCGGTTACGAGTAGTTGGGATTTCGTTTCGTTTCAATTCATAAATATTAACCCACGATCACTTTTTCATTCAAATGCCAATTGTCATTGCTTCATTGTTTTATTTTTAGTTTATTGCGTCTACTACAATGAATTATTAGTAAACGTGGAGTATTCGCAAATGTTGTGAATTTTTTTTTGTAATCTGTGCTACTAGCTTTTCAAGTTTTCTACAGAAATATTCAATAAAAGCAAAATGCATTTGGACTATAGGTAGAGCACAGGTGTTCACTTCTCACCAAAAATAATACATTTGTTATATTTGCACCCAGTTATTAACGGTCCATAAACTACGCGGATACACGTAATGAAGAAAAATATGCCGCTTTCTGTACAGCAGACAGAACGCTTTCCGGCCCTATCTTTAATATATCAATTTTAGAATTATAAAATGTTGTTTATCTATAGAACACAAACTCTTTTTCAGTGCAATTTTGTTATCTGTGAGCAAGGTAATTGGTCTCAAGACAAAGTTCGTGACAATGGCTGCTGCTGAACAAATAGTATTGGAAATGGACTAAAGTTGATGACAAATCACGAAGTTCTTGCTTTTTTTTTTAAAAAATGTTGTTTTGCTGTTCACTGGGTTAGCGAAATAAGACTTTTACTCATCAGAATTATAATACTCGAGCGTTATAACTTTGACTTGTTTGAGTCCGTTTCATACGGTTAAAAAATACATCACAAAAAATGATTAAAAGTAATAAGCAATGAAGTTATGAGCTTAATATTGATACAAATTAACATATCAAACAGTAATTGAAACGTGCCATAAAAGTTTGGTATTTTGACACTGGTGTTATCAGTGTAAAGGGGTTTCTTGAAAATTGATAATATTACATTTATAAACTTTATATTGCATGTTAGGAGTCACCCTGCCGGAAAGCGTGCGCTGATAATTTTTTCCGTTTTCTAAAAGAAAGAGCAACTATTTTCTCGTTAGCTTTATAGAAACTGTTTGGAAGAACTCTATAATTAAGCCTGTCAAAACGCTTAGCTTCAGATCTTGTTCCCACGGTATTTCACCTCTTCTCAGCTTTCTACTCGTGGTATGTAACTCGATAGAGAAGAATTTAGGAAGATGTTTTCAGATTCTCAATCATTTCAATTTGAGATAATTTATTTCAAGATTGAAAATATTCCAACAAAATCTCAAGATCTGATAATCAATAGGAAGAACGTGATGAAATAACATTTTCCTTAAACAGCCATGTCTAAGTTTGTTGACTCACCTATGTCAACGATAATCAAAAATTATGCCAAATGGAATCGAAATTAACTGATCTATCATTAATGTTCCTCGATGAGAGTTGTTAACGTTAAATTACTCTTCGCGTTCTTCTATTTTGTATATATGCGCATTTAAAGGTTATTTGTTTTTCATACGTAATTCTAACTACCATAACATCGTCTGCAATCAGATGCTCCTTTTCGATAAGGTTTTTTAAAGGTTAAGCCAGAGTAATAGATCAATACAGAGTACTACATTGATACAATGTGATTTTGACTGTTTTTTTTTTTTTTTATGATGATAGCCAACCGGCGGTGGCACCTTCGAATTCATAACCAGGAAGCCGTTAATAAAAACAAATGGTTTGTCTTGGTCGAATTTTTGACCTTTTTCTCCCAAAATGACAGCAGAAAATGACTGCCTGGTTTATTATTTCATCGGGGGTGATTAATCCGTCTTCTTCTGCAGCGTTAGACATTGATTTGGAAAATTGATCTTCATGCCATCTCCAACGCTAGGACCAAAGAACGCAATGGTTGACTGTTTTCTATAATCTGTTTTCACTTGAAATAACTTTTAAGTTCATACACAAACATAAAGATGTTTCTATCCTGACGGTCTGACACTCAAAAAATTGTTTTTTTTTTATCTAGGTGAAAATAGAAATTAAGTTTTTCCACATCTGAATAAAAACCTATGGTCTAGCTCTATGGAGTCTGGGCTCGATTTTTTCGAAACAGCGGCTGGTCGAGTTTCCTCCACACTGCAGTTTTATAATACAACATCCGATCGTTGTGCGGATAAGTTTGACTGCTAGAAGGTAAACTTTCCATTGGGATTCTTATTCTTAGTCTTCGCTTCTGTCACCGGCTGACGGTATAAACTATTTCTCTCCAGTCGTATTTTAGCCTTGAAAAAGTTCGGAAGGAAAATTAAGAAAATAAATGTCAATAAATATGCCAGTCGAAGAAATTAAATCTGTTTCCCTATTAAGGTAATGTTGCAGGCTAATCTAATCTTCTGATTGGATAATTGAAATCACGTGCGAAACTACGCAAGGTTAAACGACCTCCAGAATACAGAATACGTGCAAAACCCCAAATAAAATTAACTCACAACCGGTTTTGCCCTGCCTTGTCTTCATAGCCTTCACGGCGTGATTACTGTTAATAAAATTTCTTCAGAAAAGAAAATCGAAGTTTAAAAACGACGATGGAGGTGAAGTTATCGATGGGATTAAGTCCTGTAAATTTATACACACCGTTAACAATGTCTAAACTGTATCGAACCTGGTAGACATTAGAACAACCGCTGAACCACGACCAAAATTTTACTTATCTATATCATACATATATTTTATCAAAACCTGAGCACGAGAAGTCGTACTAGGAGATTATCGGTCCGAGGTCTTTAAAATAGACAGAAAAAAGACCAAGGGTCAATATTTCCCCAGTACGGTCTCAGGCATCGCATAACTGAAAATGTGGAAAAAAAACTCCCACGATCACGGATTAGAAAGACACCGCAAATTTCCAGAACGCAATTCTGAAGTTCAACTTTGGCGTTTACTCACGATTGACCTTTTCCAAAGAAAAAAGGACAAGAGAATTAGAAGAAAGAGGAAAAAAATTGTAAGAATAAGCTAAGAATTCTTTTAAGACACAAAACATCTAGAAAATCGCCAATAGTGGAGGCGAGGGATCAATCGGGGCAGTGCCCTGTCCAATACTTTGAAAATATTGGACAGGCAATGGAGCAATGTGATTGGTCGTGTAATAAAATGATATAAAGCGAGTACGGGAATGAGTAAAACACTCATATGATGCGTGACACTGCCGAAAAGTTGTATGTAAGGCTAAAAATGTTCTTACTTCAGTCAGAGGGCATTGGTTGCCTCTGGTTTCCTTGTAAGTTTGGGGTCCCATATTTTTATGACTTTGCAACGAATTCTTATAAAACTTCGTAGATTTACTAAATTCGGCATGATAAATTGAGCTATGGAGGTTTTTTTATGTTTATTTGAAAAATACAAAAAATTGTTGATGCTGCGTGACATCGGTAAAAGGGTCCAGGAACACCCACGATGATCGCGCGCCGATTACGTGACAAATAAACGTGAGGAGGACCAATCACCATCTAGAATTTACGAACAAAAGCATCAAACATTTCGGAAATTTCGGAAGCCATTTCTCCGCGCTACATCCGCAAATATCCTCGCAGCATGTACGCGCGCGCGTGTGCCGCACATGATGACGCAATTTGTTCTAAAAATAGAAAAATTGTCCCATATCATAGGGACAGCCCCAATACTYGAAATGGCGCGCGCTTACGGTGTCCGTCCCCGATTATGGCTCCCGGTAATGTATAGTTTTGTGTCCACGATTGGCACCCTCTCTTAACAGGGAGTTAGATCCATCCGACTTACAAATAAATTTTATTTTTATTGTCATTATCGTTATCATCATCGTTATCGTTATCGTTATCATTATTATCAATATCATCATCGTCATTATTATCATCACCATTAACATTATTATTACTATTGTTATTAATATTATTATTATTAGTAGTAGTAGTAGTAGTAGTATTTGAGAGCAATTGTCTTTTGTTTTTTTTATTACTTCTCGCGTACAATCGATGACACAAACCGCAAATACTTTCGCCACGTTTCTGTGACATTCTAAACAAGTCATTCCAATTCTCAGGTTTTCTCAGTTTTATCCATTTCTGTAAACTACAATTTTGCTTCCTTTCTTAACGATTTCAATCACCGGCAATTGTTACTGTAAACAGGTTTGTGCTGTAAATAATTATCGTGTAAAGTTTTAGTGAAGAATTTTAATGAGCCCAATAAAATTATTATTATTATCATTATTGTTATTGTTATTATTATTATTATTATTATTATTGCCCTTTAAAACCTTGTGGCTGAGTACGCGCACTCGACAGCGTTTTCAAAAAGTTTGAGTTTTTTTTTTAGTCTAGTATCTTCGATTCTCCTTCTTTTAGAATTAAACAACAGGGTGCATAGTTTGATAACTTTTAAATCATATTTATTAATTAACATTTGTCAACATCTCACTTTCAGTTACAAGACAACAGTTGAGTATTGATGCTTCCATGTCTTACATACATTTAATGTTTTAATTATTCTAATCTGTGATACCATCTTTACGTAATCTCTTTAAAGTGAAGTGTTCAGAACTTCAGAATACCTGTAACAAAACAAAATTTAAAAAATCACAGTGAACTGGGATAATATATAGTAATGTAATTGCGGTTAAATTTGATCTAATAGCACTTCGTTTTCTGATAGTTCAAGATAAGAAGTTATACTTCTTTTAGTCTTACAAGGGGCGTAAACCTTAAGTAAGCGTTAAGTTTATCAAGCTTCAGATCTATTATGACATACAATACCAACACTAGGCAAAGTTCCGAAATATTCTGTATTGGATAAAACTCAGAAAGCGAGCAGAAAAATGATATCTTTGATCTGGACATCCATTTTCAAAAGTCTACTAAACCCCCGCTTTTCTCTGATGTTTTGTTCGGTAAATATGTTTAACAACACTGGTTATATCAACAATAAAGCGCTAACTATACTGCAAGTAGTACACCAAATGCAACACAATTGCCTTAAGGTTGGCAATTTTTTTGCCACTACTTCTCTGCCTCACCTATCCAGACACCACACCAGGCGTGGTCCCAGCTTCGACATCGATCTTGACCTGCTTAGTAACCGAGCCATGTTTGTTGGTTGCCTTGCACTCGTAATCACCGGAGTCAGCGACAACAGCACCGGAAATAGTCAATTCAACACCCGTCAACGTTAAGTCCAGGTCATACACATTGTTAACAGTGAGCCGCTCAGAGGAAGGAAGTGAGCCTGTACAATAATTGTTTGTTACAAATGTAGAAAGCATAACATTTATTACGATGGTTAAATATTGTATATGAAGTTTTTGATATCATTATTTAAATTTTTAATATCATTATTGGTAGTCTCACGATGTGCAAATTTGGAAAGTGAAATAAATACTTCCTAATTAACAATTGACTGTAAAACAACATTTTTCTAGGCCTATTGAAACAGGGTCTCATTCGTTGTAGTGTATTTAGCATATAAAGAAACTAAGAGAAATCATGGCTTCTAAGGCAGGTCGTATACGTTATTCACTTAGAAAAATATGTCTAACTTTTAGAAGTAATTACATGTTGGACTACACTCATTTCGATCACCATCAAAAACTTTTTCCATTTAAGAATAATGGAACCTAATTACGAATCGAAATCATGGCTAAATTCTTACTTGATACCACATATTTAAGAACTCCAGAGAAGAATAATTTCACCTATTTGGTACATACTTAACTTATACATACTCAGAGGAATTATTTTTTCTCAACCTATTAATAATCAAACGTTGGAAATATATTGAAAATTTCAAAGAGATGAGGCTGATTTTAATATCCGTGGTTTAAAATGCAAGAGAAAGCGAATAGACTTTTTACCCCCAGTAGAGCCTCGGCGGTACATCTAATAGAACTCTGGTTTGATTTTGCTACCCAATTATATCGTCTGGTTCTGTTGTCCGAAGGTCTAAAAGAAGCTTTTGAGTGGGCGATAACTAATATATAAATAAGTAGTATATAATCAAAAATCAAAAGTATTTTCTAAGCTAGATGAATTTGTTCCAGGGACTCAGGGTGATCATTATATGAAACTTACCAGCTCCCTGAGCGGAGCAATGCAGTGNAAAAAAAAAAAAAAAAAAAACAGAAAGCAGCTTACTGTGGCAAATCAACATGTCTGTATATCAAGTAACCGTACCTCCAACTTTTGTCCACGTGACTGTTGGTGTAGGATCTCCCGCAATATAGCAAGCAAGCGAAAAGGTTTCATTCTCGTAGGTTGTATACTCCGAAGTTGGAATAATCTGCGTGATGCGAACTGGGGCTGGCGAATAGGAAATAGAACGACTAGCTGCCTCAGTGTTCGTCAATGATTTGTGCAATTAAATGGTAAGCAAAAATAACTGATGTTAAGTTTCGTTTGGACATAGTTAGTAGAGGAGATTAGCCATTTACAATTTACTCAAAAGAAAAAAAAAAAGATTTACCGAAAGAGAATAAGACGAATTTGATTTGACCATAACACCAAGATGGCGGTGAAAAATTGCAAATGGTAAGCACATTTTCTACTTGGATATTTCGGTCTACCGTTCAAGATGATCCGTTTACTTCAAAAAAAATTCCTGTCTGTCGAGCCAAAACTGTCTTACCATCTAAATTCTGACCGAAATTTCGGAATTTTTGGGTAAATGGTAAACAACTACTGTTTCAATATTGAGTGGACACTATCTGCATGAGCCAGCCAACTTTTTTAACTTAATATGGCTATTAAACTAAATAGATAATAATTACTTACACAAGCAGTCCTCCAGTGACGTACTTCCGGTGCTCGCTGTATTGGTACCAGCTGGGCATGCGTGACAATACGTTTGTTGGTCATTATCCTGATATGTTCCCATTGGACATTCCAAGCATGGCTCGATGCCATTATTAGTAGAGTAGTGACCAGGTCTACAGACAGCTAAAACGTAAGAGAAAACAATAACTGCGATTGGAAGTCAAGCACTCTAAGCTAATTGCTCAAGTCATTGAAGAGATACGCTTGAAGAAACTCGTTGTACAGGGAGAGAAAGCAAAAAGGGGTACACTACAGCTTAACTAGCAGTGTACATTTCTTTTTCTTAATGAAAAAAAGAACTCATTCGTTTGCACGTGAGTGATTGTACATGCGAATGACATTCAAATTCACAGCAACCAAGAGATATAAAGTGACGATTACACAGCCACGAGATCGTGCTCTACTTATGTAAAAATAGATGGGAGCAGAACAAATCATATGCGAAATTTCTGTTATAAGCAAAATGCTAAAAAAAGATGAGAAATCCAAAGGAGTCCACGAGAAACCTCGTGTTCAGAACATCGCATTTTGGCGCCGTTGAAGCTGCAGTTCGATAATTAATCTTAGAACTTTGTTATATAGCGGATATTACATGATGGCGCGAAGATATGAGTTTTATTTTCGAGAGGTAAAAACGATATTTTACAAACGCAGCGAGTGAGAAGAAGATTTTTTTAACCAAAACATGAAACAAAATTCATATCTTAATTCATATCTTAATTAAGTTACGATGGCAAAAGAAAAAGAATATTCAAAATTCATATCTCCGAGCCACTGTGTAATTTTCTTTATATTATGTAGACAAACTCATTGTCTGCACAGTCGGCTCGTTTGTGTGCCATAGCTCTGCGTCCGCCGAGCTGTTGTGCAAGTTTAAAGCATGACTGTAATAGAAATTAAGACAATTTTGCTAACAGATAAACCGCAAATGTAATAGCAACATGAATCTTGAATCTTACGTTTGCAATCTGCCTTTGATTTGGATCCTGTGATGACGCTGGAGGAGTTCTTTGGACAGGGCTGGCATTCCGTTTTCCCCTCTTCGTCCTGATAGAAGCCAGCGTTACAATCTTTGCATATGTTAGTTGTGCCTTCGCTGTAGGTTCCTGGAGGACAGTTCACTGACAAGAACAGAACAAAAAATATCATTAACCACTAATAATATAATAATACGTAAAATTAAAATGAACGTGTTAAATTAACACGATTAACCTACGTATTTAATGAGGGTTTTTCCCACCCGATATTAAGCAAGTCAATCATGTTAATATAACACTTTCATTTTGAATTTCTGTGTTACATTACAAGACACATTGTGAAGTATATATGAAATAATTCATAATACATTCAAGACACATTGTTTTCTAGCCATTGTATTTTCTAGTGCTTAATAATATAATATAATAATAACATCGATAATGGTTTACTAATATGGTATCCATACATAAAATGGCTCTTAATCTATTACTAATACATTACAGAAACCAGCGAGGTTAAAACTCACTGAGGTACGTATAAACAGAAGTAGTCACGGTGGAAATTGAATATATACTAAGTTAGGAATATTTGCAATTAAAATACAGGATATAAAGGGATGATATGCCTTATATATAAGAATATTCATTTTGTTAAAGAAGCCACGTCACGGTTTTCCAATCTTGAAAAGTTAAGCCTAATTTTTTCCATTTCGTGGTTTGCAATCCTCGCTAATCTTCTCCATCCTTGTTCTTTTACGGTTTATTATTAGTATCTCTTGTGTTTTTTCTTTCTTATTTAACTACTGTTTTAAGGTTTCCTTCAATTTAAAGGTATTTTTGTATGTGGCCAAAATAGCTCAAAATATCATGAATGAGCCCCTTCAAAGAGTTCTAACGATGAGATCATAAGCATTACTGTAGGCATATCCCTTTAGGCTGAATATTTTCAACAACGTGGTAGAAGTTACGCAAATAACATTGTCTAACTTACATTTAATCATGAGATTTCTGATATTGTATGTAAACGCACATGTTGACATGAAAGTAGTCGTAATACTGTGAGTAATGTGTGAAAATGAATTCAATTTTAAACAGGAGTAAGTACAGCTATATCATTACTTGCGTAAGGTAAGCAACTTTAATTTCACTTACAGCAAATGGTCTGCAACAAAATGCTCCCGTCGTGGCAGAATGAGCCGTCGTAGGAGACGTACGCTGAGACAAAATGAAGCAGGTTTGATGGCTATCTCCTAAATAAGTGTGCTATATATGGGTCTTAAAGCACCATACATACAAAGTATGCAACACTTTTGAGTGCTGTACCATGGAATATCTCACGAGTCTTTAATTTTCTCAGTATACACAAGAGTTTTTGGTCGAGTGTTTATAGGCAATATACTGGTGACAAGTGGAATATTCCATGGTATACCACCTCAAAAGCGTTGGATAACTATTTTATACGTCATGTCATTGACTACAGCAGTTGGATAATAAATTTCTTATTAGATGTTTTGGTGTGTAGTATCGCTTTACATTTTTATTCGTTGTTTGTATTTTGACTAGCCTCGCTCTACGGGCTCGTCAAAATACGGGACAACTAGTAAAAATATTAACCTCTTACTAACCGAGCGCGAGGGCCGTACTGGGGAATATTGTCCCGAGGGCGTGGCAGTACCGACCGAGCGCAGCGACCGAGGGCCAATATTCCCCAGTACGGCTCGAGCTAGCTAGGTTAGTAAGTAGTTTATTATATGGCACTCGAGCCATGCTTGTTTTGAATTTGCCGGCTTTCGAAAACAAAAAATATACAGCTTATGACCGTTTCTATGGAAACGGTCCGTATGGCGAAATCCCGACCAAGAAAGAACCAATCAGAACGCTCGAATTAACCTCAAGACTACCTTGCCATATAATGAACAGCTATACTACACACTAAAACCTCTAATAAGATATATGTAAGATGCATGAAATAGAAGATAACCAACTGGGAGAAGTACATGATAATGACGACAATCAAACTGCCTTCTGAAATCTTCGAAGGGGAAACTGGCGACATGACAGCCTTGAAACAAAATTGCAAAGTGCATGCGTACCATTTTCATAAACTGTCATCTATTGTTTCATGCAAGTGAGGCATACGTTAATACAATTAATCTGTTCTTACCCATACAATCTGGAGGCTTTGTTAAGATAGAGACTCGGTCATTTTGAGACACCCACTTGTTGCCCATACATCTGTAGTAAGGATTCTGGAATAGACCAGGTAATCCGGGGGGAGATGGGTTGAAGAAGTATCCAGGATTGCATCTCAACTGTAGGAACAAACCGAGCTTCATGGCGACTCCATTCTTGGGATGAGGAATTGTGATGCAAGTTGAGCCTATAGGATAAGAATTTCCAAACAAAATTTAAAGTTTTGGGAAACAAAATTAAACAAGGAACTCAGTATGAACAAGCCAGGAAAACTACATGTTTACAAGTCATTTAAGATGTGTCTATTGTTCATCGGGGTGCAAGAAATTAAAGGAAAGATGAATTTACTCGTTTGTCTCACGATGGAGTCACTTTGAGATGTGATCGCATGCAAAAAAATCAACATTTTAAAATGACTCCTTTGTGAGACAAACGAGTAAAATTCATCTTTCCTACACGTTTAAAGTTTTATTTTATTTTCTCCCTGCTCTTTCTCTTAAACTGAGCTACACCTTGAAGATTGTATAAAATGAAAGCGTACCTAAAGGGAAAACTGTCACTTCCCCCCCCTCCCAAAAAAAAAACAAACAAACAAATAACCCCAAAAAAAAAACACGAGGAAGAAAGGAAAGAACTGAGAAGTGACGAAAGTTTAAGGAAGAAAGGGAAAAGAAGACTAAGGAAAGAAGACTAGATGTAAGGAGGGCTGAAAGTCAGACAGAAAGGAAGGTCAGAACGTAGGCAGGCAGGAAGGAAAGAAGAACAGCGGGCAGACAGGCAATGTATGGAGATAGGAAGGGACAGGAAGGGACAGGAAGGAAACATGGTAGCAGAAAGCCAGGAAGTAAGAGAAGAAAGGAAATTACTAATTAAGGAAGTTTGGTGGAAAAGAAGGAAGGAAGGTTGGCACAAAGGAACGAAGGAAAATATGAACGAACACGAACGAACGAAAATGAGAATGGGAAGATAGACGGCCCAGCTATAGGGGCCCGTTTCTCGAAAGCCTCGGAAACTTTTCGGGCCCGTAAAGCCATTTTTAG